ATATATATATATGTGTATATTAGAGAGAGAGAGAGAGAGAGAGAGAACATGTCTGGGTCATATTCACCCTAAAAACAAAAGAATATATCTTGCATTAATAAATTATGGCTTTTTTTGCATTTGTGACATTTATTGTCATGACAATTAAGCACATTTACCCTTAAAATTCTTATTAGTGTAATGTAAAATAACCTGATTTGTCAATACTGTCATTCGTTTTTAGACACTTTAGATTTTTTTACAGTAATAAAATAAAAGTATTTTATTTATTTTCATTGTATTGACAATATTTATAGAACATGTCTGGGTGTGTGTGTGTGTGTGTGTGTGTCTGTGTTTTTAAACAAATTATCGTATAGTTAATTTATATTTATTTTTTATTTTATGTAAAAGCTTCATATTATTTTATATATAGATTTTTTTTTATAGATTGTTTTTTTGTGTGCGTGTGTGTGGCCCAGGCATGTTTTTGACAGGTTTTATGAGATTCACCCAAAGATCTGGCTAGTCATCAAGCTATGAATCATTCTTTCTCTTTCAAGGCTTCCTGGTGACCAGCACTGTAATGTATCCTGTTTCACACTGTAAATCATCCTGACTTACAGAATCTGTGCTCCACACACCCACCTAGTGATGATTCATAAATGTTTCCTGCCATAACTCAAATCATTCTCACTTCATCTCATCATCTGACATAGATAAATGGACAGAGAAGCCAGCGTTTGGCACGGCTCTGGAAGAACATCTGAAACGCACTAGCAGAGAGATCGCTCTGCCCATGGAGGCCTGCATTATGATGCTACTGGAAACCGGCATGCAAGAAGAGGTATCTGGCGCTGTGAAACAACACATGAGAACCCACAGATAAAAAGACAAGACGGTTTTCATCCAGAGGGGAAGTGGATGCACTTTGTTACTGCACACACAATGGCAGATAGTTGTGATCTTCAGGGAAGTGGTCGCTATTTCTGCCTTTTGCAAAGGGCACTTTTGTACAGAACTAGTTTTAAATGGATGACATTTATTTGACATGCATTTCAAAACTGAAGTTGCATAAGTGTCAAAATCCAAATAAAAGAGGTTTGCAAGTTAACATTTTATGTTTTCATAAATATCAAGCTTTAAAAACCTGCTATTCACATGTTTGTTGATTTAGCAATCAAGATCTTCTTAATATTTAGCCTTTATTCCTTTTGTCTCAGGACAGAGAAGCCAGCGTTTGGCACTGCTCTGGAAGAACATCTGAAACGCACTAGCAGAGAGATCGCTCTGCCCATGGAGGCCTGCATTATGATGCTACTGGAAACCGGCATGCAAGAAGAGGTATCTGGCGCTGTGAAACAACACATGAGAACCCACAGATAAAAAGACAAGACGGTTTTCATCCAGAGGGGAAGTGGATGCACTTTGTTACTGCACACACAATGGCAGATAGTTGTGATCTTCAGGGAAGTGGTCGCTATTTCTGCCTTTTGCAAAGGGCACTTTTGTACAGAACTAGTTTTAAATGGATGACATTTATTTGACATGCATTTCAAAACTGAAGTTGCATAAGTGTTAAAATCCAAATAAAAGAGGTTTGCAAGTTAACATTTTATGTTTTCATAAATATCAAGCTTTAAAAACCTGCTATTCACATGTTTGTTGATTTAGCAATCAAGATCTTCTTAATATTTAGCCTTTATTCCTTTTGTCTCAGGATGGATGCATAGACAGATAGATTGAAGGATGGATGATGGATGGATGGGTGGAGAGATCGTAGATGATAATTAGATGATGGATGGATGGATGGATGGATAGATAGATGGATGAATAGATGAATAGATGAATGGATAAATGGATGGGTTGGAGGGTGGATGGATGGATGGATGATAGATAGATGGATGGATGGAGGGGTGGGTGGGTGGATAGATGGATGGATGAATGGATGATAGATAGATGGATGGATGGAGGGTTGGAGGGGGGGTGGATAGATGATGGATGGATTGATGGATAGATGATAAAGAGATAATGGATGGACTGATGGACAGATGGATAAATGTTTGAATACATAAATGGATAGATGGGCAGATGGATGATAGATGATGGATGGTTGGACAGATGGATGGATAAACGGATGATGGATGGATGGGTGGTGGATAGATGATGGATGGATAAATAGATAAAGATTTGATGGATGGATGAATAGATGAATGGATAGATGGTTGGATGGGTGGATGGATAGATGTTTGGGTGGATGAATGGTCAGATGGATGATAGATGATAAATGGATGGGTGGGTAGATGATAGATAGATAGATGATAAATAGATGACGGATGGATGGATGGACGGACAGATAGATAGATGGATGATAGATGGTGGATGGATGGAGGGGTGGGCGGATAGATGATAGATGGATGATGGATGATGTGTAGATGATGGTTGGATAGATAGATAGATAGATGATAGATAGATAGATAGATAGACTATAGATAGATAGATAGGCAAGGCCTTCTGTCATCAGATAGATAGATAGATAGATAACTCAATGTTGAGCAACAGATGAGGTCTGGATGACCTTGTTGATTTGTGAGAGCGACACTGTGGCAGTGTATCTGTGTTAGAGACGTCTTCTGATTCACTTCTGCTTCTTGGCTAAAGCCAGACTAATAATAGCAGTGAAACGAGACAATCATTTCCCTGTGAAACCATCACTGACACATATGAAAACAGCCTTTCCAGTCATTTTT